TGAGTTTTCCGCCGACAAATCCGTGGACGACCCAGGAATATAGCGGAACACCGGCACGGGGAGCATGGAACATCGATCGTCTATAGCATGTTTAGATAAGAATATTGACGAGTGGAAATAAAGTTAAACTTCAATAAATGAACATATTTCCTGTGACTATCGTCGATATTGACACCAAGTTGCGGTAAAAGAAGAAGTCAAGTCACCCACGGTAAGAAAATGTTGGTCTCTGGCAATGACGCCCGGCGCTTTGTCATGCCGACAGGATCGTTCCCCAGCTAGCCGGCGCCGATCTCAGTGGAACCCCGGCAAAAATATAACCTCCCGTAAGTACACATACAATTGTAGGGTTTATGAGTGGTAATATTTGAAATGGTCCGCAAGCCGTGAACGTTCTTGATCGTCGTAACGTAACATGTGATAACATAACAGTTGTGCCTCATTTCCAATACACTTCCGGCTTGAGTTCAACTCAGGAATCTTCAACAAAGATTATGCCCATGTCGTTTCAAAGGTTCAGAAATTGTTAACCATGTTTCACTTCGTATCACAAATATTTTTAAATCTTGATAAATGCCACGGGAAATTAATTTGTAGCGGGCTACACCAGCCAGTACGACGTGAAAATTCCAGCTAGATGTACTCCTACTCGACTGTTCGGCAAGCTACAATGATAGGGGCGGAGTTAACTTAAAATGTAGTCTTTGATGAAATCTTACCGCCCGGCCAGTGGGTGGGGTGTTTGGCGCGCCGACAGGCAAAGTACACCTACAGCTGACGAACACAGAGAGGGCCGTGGCATGCGCAGCGCTGAGGACAGCTTTCCAGAACATGGACCCCGAGAAGGAACTTATAAGTTTTACGGAGTACAAATTAATACGTGTTTATTCCTTAGATTTTGTGACAAAAACATCTATCACATAACGAGAGATTACTTGAAATGCAGTCAAACTTGTCACTCAGTTCTCCTGTTCGGAATCGCAAGTCCCATTGATCCCAGTAGTCTTTTGTTGTTGTGTTAATTGGTTTCGGTGTCAAATTTTAAATTCGGTAGCACCTCTACACCCAAATACTCCGCCCAGTTCTCCGCCTGTATGATTGTTGCTCTCCATGGGTCGATCGGGCGGGCGCTATTAAAGAAGTGTTCGGCGCATTTCGTATTAAAAACATTAAAGCTACGTACTTGTGCATCAACATTCAACTACCCCCCGTTACCGATAAAATCAATATTGAAATATTGTCTTTTTTTTCACGAATCTTTATTGACCATTGCTTGCTTGATCACCAACACTCCAAAGCTGGATCCAAATCTGTGCGTTTCGCCGCACTTGCCTATACCTTTCGATGCGGTGGTGACGTCTTGCAAGTCTGCTGCGGCCGGCGGTGAAAAACAAGCCGAACTTGAAACGTTTCCCGCTACGTTACCATACCATCACGTAGTACACGGCATAAATCTAGTTTTTAACAATTTTAAATTTGTTTGGAACGACGAACTGTCTTTAAGACATACATACTACATTTTCACTGTGGTACCGGCCGTGCGTAGAAGGGGTGCGTACTTAATTTGAGTTTTTCCATTTTACGTTTCAGACGGGAATATTTGTCTCCCACAAGCCCCAAATCGGGGGTGCGTACTTCATTCGGGAATTTACGGAGGGAGAAAGAGACATGGACTGGAAAAATGGGGGGGAGGGCCACCGAAAATTTTTTTGGGGTGGGGGGAGGGCCATTGAAAAAAATTTTGAGCCGGGGGGAGGGCCATGGAATTTTTTTTTTGTAGCCGGGGGAGGGCCATGGAAAAAATTTTTTACCGGACCATTTTGCACCAGCCCTCCCCCCCGGTAAATATCGTACAGTCCCTAAGAGACACAAAAAAACATACGCCTGATGTCTACATTGTCTTACCTGTCGCTCTGCAACCAACATTCCTCTCAGGAAACCAGACCATACAGAATCCTATCTAGTGGCAGGAGTTTTCATGTTACACAGACAACAACTACACAGTCAGATGGGGAACAGAGTAGCCTGTCTCTGAGCACAATGGTGTGGTAAGGGGCTGGTAGGTCACATGAGGAGGGCAAACCAAATTTGTATTTTGCATCTCACCATCTGGCTGGGCCCTGTCACACTGTCAACTTGACCAGAACATTTAAATTTACAGGTCCATTTTACTGCTGTTACAACACAGTACTGTATCTGCATGTGTGGCTATCGAATAAAATATACAGAGATAATAATTGCATACAGGTACACTTAGATCCACTCTGCGATCTCTTGCTATAAAAAATCTTTGATCCTTGCAATTTCAACTAAAGTACATTTCTGAGAAAAATGTCTGGAAATCTACGCTTTTAGAAGTATTGTATGACTTATTTGGATATTTTTCAGAAAGATTCATTATTAGAAAGGAGCCAGAAAATATTATGTATCAGCAATTACAAGTCAACTATTGACAACTGTGAGCTCATGAGATAGAGGATCATATGAATGTTGTCAACTGATCAAAATCATATCAATCATTATTTGTATTTCAAACTTACCTCCTCTGCTCTGAAAGCTTGACTCAACAGTGCATTTGAGTTTCCTGTGGTTATTTTGGGACAATTTCTTTGCTATCTCTGTTTAGGGACGTTGTTTCCACCGCAAGCAACTTCCTCCCAAACAACACCGCCTGGATAAACTAGTTCACCCCAGACCAAAACACGGCAGACAAGCGCCAGGCATTCCTACTATGCCACAGGTGATCTTTAGTTTCCACCTGTTTTTATCCCATCAGCCGGGGTCACAGACGCTTTTGTCCCGGGACGGTTCTAATATCAGCCTCACCTTTGAAGCCCAACTTGATCTGCTCTTTTTTAAAAGTATTACCGCAAATCTTTCACCGAGAGAACTTCGCTTCCAGAGGGCCAGAAAAGCGTGGAATTTTTCTTTGTTTCCCGTTCTGTCAACATGGCTAAAGAAACACAGACACAACAACCAAGGTAAACACTGAGTCGGAGTAGAAAGGCGCAAGGTGAAATGCTGCCCCCTCGCGACCTCTGACATTGAGAAGGCACCGGGCGCCATTGTCTGAACGTCTATTCTAGTCGTGCGTACAATACAGAAAACAAATGGCAGAATTTGAGACCTTATAGCGGCGGTAATTGCCGGTCATAATAAAGCTTTAGCTGTCCAGTCTACAGACATTTTCAAAACGTGGCAGAAGAAGTCAGAATGCAAAATAACTTATTGGAAGTCAAAATCTTCAGACAGTGTGTGTAGACTATGGGAGATACGATCAGTAAGGAAGGTATTGTTACATTCCTAATGTGATCATTTCAGCAGGCGGACAGGTAATGCCTGGCACCACAGTATCAAGAACGACAGCCAACATGTCGTGATTTACGAGTTTCTGAAATTTTGACACCATCCCCATACACATTACAAGTGGATGTAATTGAAAGAGGAGGATCTGTTTCGCAAATGCTCCCCACAACAAGTACTCAGGATCTTCAAGTATGCATGATACAAAAGCTTGAAGGGGGTGGGGGGTTGTACACGTCCCAAAGCAAGCTATGGTGTTGATACACAAATGTAAGACTGAACAGATCATGAAACAACTTAAGTAGACATTTTTGCCACCAAGGCTGCTTCCTAAAACTTTTTGATACGATTTCCTTAAAGAATTGTGAAAGGTTTCCTTAGATACAACAAGCCTTGATAGCCATCTCCGCAGCCCTGTGCCACACCTGTAACTGAAGTAGTCTGTACACACGACCCAGAGACTCGAGCGGGAAAGCGGAGCCGGCTCGGCGGAAGTTGAGGTGCCAAGAGTCACCGTTAAGTTTGATGTAGGATGATTTAGTACACAGATTGGTTTCACGCTCGGACAAAAGCTGCCTGACTGCAATGTCACCAAAAATCACGTACACATCAAGTGGACTTTCAAAAATAATGTCAGATGATACAGATGTGTATATTTAGTATGCAAAAGGACACAGTATGTACATTTTCAAGAAAAAACAAAGTAGGACAGAGTCAAGCTTTCTGCCCAGCCTCCCTAATTTTTTTACCATGTCCAAAAACCAAGGAAATAGATTGTTGTGGCCAAAACCAGCAAACCTTAAGTTTGTTTTTACCCCCATCCTCCCCTCTCCCCTACTGACAAAGAGGTCTCCATCAGGTAACAGTAGATGTTCACACATGGGGAAACCTAAGTGCTGACATGAATGCATAGCTGGATGCAGATTAGGTGCAGAGATTGCTTACACACTAAGGCGACTTCAAAGACGGGAGGATCGGAGGATGTTTACCAGATATTGTCTGAGCGGTGCGACTTCCTTTTATCTGGCACAGTGGAGATATTGGTTATCTAGAGTATATGGGCCTTAAGCCACTGAGGGAGAATTCCTCAAGCCTCTGGCTCTTCAAATTGATGATATGACAGTGGGGGTGATATTCTGGGGCTTTAATCAGGGAATATACGTGTTTGTTTCTTCAGGCATGTTAAAATAGAGCTACCAACAAAAGCCAACCACATTGCCATATCTTCCAGTTAATATCTATTGATATTGACTGCACACCTGTTGCTATTATAGGAAGTACATTTTACACATGATTTTACATTTCTGACAATCACATCTTCATCAACAGACAGTGACTTTCAACTGGTTACAGTAAGCTAACACTCAACAATACTTCTCGGGATCAGAAAATATCTCCTAAACACTTCATACTGATAAATGGAGAAGTCAACAAAATGTTATGCCTTTTCAATGAAGTTGCTAAAGACAACACTTAAAGATACCCATTCTTAAAAGGTAAAGAATGGTCAAGTTGTATTTATGTGTGTGTTACTTTTTACCTTGAAAGGGTTGCACAGGCTAAGAAGACGCAACACATTTCGTCTTGGATGAGATAGCGTTCAAGCCGTGAGACACTATGTTTTGTAAATGGAGCACAAAATAAACAAGGAAGACAACAACAAACTATGACGAAGAGCACTGCAGGATCCAGCTCACCTCTTGACCTGCAGGTTAAGCGTTTTGGAGGCGCTCTTCACCAGTTGTACGGCGTGGAGTCGTGTGTTGCAGTACGTCTTGTTGATGTACAGGACCTCGTCTCCAACCTTCAGTCTCTTCTGTCCGCCTACGTCTGCTTTCCCCCCAGCTTCAATCTGAAGTCAAACAGAGAAACATGAAATTGTTAGACAAATACAGAAGCACAGCATGGAATTGTTGGACAAATACTAATAAAGGACTGTGATGATTTTTATTAATGACCACACCAAGTTGATTTCGCTTTGTGTCATATCAAGTCAATGACTTGGTAGTTCTTCGTAGTCGAAGATGACTGTTAGCGTCCTCGTTCAAGGGGGAGGGGGGTCCTCATGTGGCTTCTGAGTCCAAAGCTGAAATGAAAAATCACCAAGAAAAAATTGTCCAAGGGGAAAGTCTGCTCTTTGGCACACAGTTTCAGGGAGCAGATTCAAGTTACACTCAGTTTTTATCTTTACTTCTTCACTGTCAAAGAACCCGGGACAGAAATTTGTGTGGCCTAATGACAGCGAAGCCTCATACATACCTGTACATCTTACATACAGTATGATTTTAACAGCAAGAAATTCAGTTACTTACTAGTAGACTGGGCACATTCTGGCTCTTTTCCAAAAACAGGAACAGAGCAATACTGTATCCATCGCACCTTAGACAGGTGTGAACTATAGCCAGGTAAGAATCCCAGACAGGTACAAGCCACTTACAGACAACCACACCTCTGTAACCATACCTGTCAACAGTGGCCACTCATCCAACCCAAGTACTTCGGACACACGGACGCAACAATAGCAACTTTTCATATCCAGGTTATCAAAATAGATAACCCTCTCAGCCACACCTCTAGGATGACAACCTGTCTCTATTTTTAGGATGATGACCTGAGAGACTGTCGACAGCTTGCTGAAGAGCGTAAAATACAATCAACTGTAGCAATTTTCCATTATAGAAAATTACCTGTTTAGATAGCAATTTTTGTAAGCTTATATACCAGATTACCAGAGAATAGATAGCCATTAGCTACTCACCTTTTGGATGAAAATCTGTCTCTACTTAAGGCAGAAGGCTCTGAGTGTGCTAAAAAGCCAACAGACTTACCACGAAACACTACGGAGGAGTTTCCTGTGCCTAAATTTAGCTGTTTGGCTAGTAATATTTCTGTATCTAAAATTAGATGCTTAGCAAAACTGTTTTTGGTTTGCAGGTGGATTGGCTTTACCAGGATGTTAGTCACAAACTGTTGCCCTCCCACCTTCCCTACCGTAAACAAAAACATCAACAGACACTGTGACTAGGCTAAACTTGGAATGACGTAGGTGTAGAAGAAAAAAAACATGTGACAAAAGTAAATTCCCTATGACGTGTGTAGAGTGTTCAAAACTTCCTTGTCTATTGTTTGATGTTTATAAATACACTGTGTGTCACTTCTAAAAGAAACTGAAAGAGTGCTTTGTCATGCCCAATACTACTTCATATGCAAAGCACTGAACACCTGAAAATGTATTTCTGGGCTTTCCTTGCCTTTCTTGTTAGAATTTGCCCATGAAAAATTTAAGCATACACTAGCAATCAGTCATGCATAATATCACCCCTGGACCCTTGCATTGTTGGGGATTTTGTCTGAGCTACTGTTAATGTAAAGAGCATTACGAACTTTGTAAGTTTTTTATCCTCACTACGTGTAACTATGAACAACTTCTTGTTTTTCGACCAATACCAAGTTGAAAGTTATTCGAAAAATTTCTGTTTGAGGTAGATAATTAAAAGCAAACATTGCACAACCGAAATGCATGAGTGGCCACCTTCGTTAATAGTCCATAATACCTGCTACTCGGTGGGAAATTACCATGGCAACAAGGCAAACATTTACACAGGTATGAGTCCACCTGTGCAGTCTGCATTCCTGGCATACCATCCCGCAAACAGGCTTAACACCCGCCCCGTAAACCTGTCACTCACAGCCGCTTTTCCCACCGCGGGGACTGGACTTTGATCGACACCGGACAAGAGAAAACGGCAAATTGATTCGCGACCGTTCGTACGTTGTTCTTTTTTTAGACGTCGGTTAAAGCTTACATAATGCGCATTCCTCGTGATCTGTGTGTGGAAGCTTAGGACATTGATTTCAGAGCACAAAGTTAGGGGGGGTGTAAGTTTCCCAAACTCATACATTTTTTTCTGACCACTGCACTTTCCAACAAAAGTTGGCTGTTTGGAAAAATACAGTAGTACACGTAAGTAGTAGTAGTGAGTACGGTAGTAAGTAAGAGAATGTGAAATCCTTGCCCAAACATCTGCTTAGAAATTTGAAAGAAGAGAAGAGTCATGAGAATAAAAGAATGTTACTTCCTTCTCCTTAGAGAAAGTGACTTTTGGACGATCACTTCCTTAATAAGGGGTCAGGAGAAGGTCACCTGGTTCATTACCACCTGGAAGAACATGTGGCTACAAGGTGTACATCATCGACTGTTGCTCCGCTGCAAGTTTACTTTTTCTTAGGCACTAATAGATTTGATGACAACAAATCCTCATTTTCGATAATCTACCTCAAATTACTGATAATGTAAAGTCATAAAAAGTTTTAACACAAAAGTTGATGCAGAAATCTAAATATTTTTAACCAAACCGTACGTGTAAGAGTATTTTAGCAGCAGTGTTTTGTCTTGCAAGGGAGATCTCTTGGACTCTAACAATATCTTATCAATATTTGCTATTACTTATCACTAACCAGACAAGCTAACCCGCCAACAGATACATGCCAATACGTCAAGTATTCCATTTTGATAACAATCAATTAGTTAAGTCACTGGCTATGTTTATTTGGCCATCTGGGCTTCCAAACATTTATCCCCACACGCAAAGTAGAGTCTTAGTCCGATAACCTTCCCATGCCCTCTGGCTGACTTTTGACCTGCCAAATGACCGAAGCATGACACTTAATGTATTTTTTACTCGACTGTTCAACCACTTCAAGAAAGGGTTTGGAATTGCCTTGGTTTCCATGGAAACGACAGTTATGAAGCACAAAGTACTGTAGGACATGGGTCACAAGAGACCACTTTCAAAACCTGTCCGTCACGTACGTTAAACAACGTCAAAACTACATATGCCTGCAAAGTAGTTTACAACACTATCAAGAAGTCCTGATAAAATACCAGTCTAGCATTGAGAACTTAATTATGATAAGTTTATATGCCTTCTTATTTTGTGGCGTCTCTTGGTCATTTCACAGTTGTTGACATGGGAACATCCAAGAAATAAAATCTTATTATAAAAATTCTGTGTACGGGCATGCTTTGGTACTTGTGTATTAATTTATTATGACAATTACAAATATGATATGCACAAAAAAATCAAGAGATATGTTATAATATGTAAGACTTCCTTCTTTTGAGAACAATTTTTTTCAAGATTTAACTTGCTTACTTTTGAATATTATTCAGACCTTTTTATTACTACTACTAGTTATAAAATGTTTCAAGCATAATCATTTTGAATTAAAGTGAGGAGTACCATAAGTTCCTGACCTCCAACTGACCTTCCAATGACCTAGGGATTAATGAAGACCCCACACCACAGATGCACCATCATAAATTATCCTTCTCCTCAACAATGGCAGATAACAACTGTCATTACAAATGATGATGACAGGCTAGCAGAGAGAAGTGGCTGTCAGATTGATGGTTACGTATCTGCTAATGACGTTTCATTCATCCACTGCCATTAAAAAGCTGTACTGGGTTAAATGATCTAATGATAAATGACACTAAGGGTTCTACATGATTTTACACAAAGTTATGCAGTTTTTTTCTCATCTGCCAGTGACAGGGGTGAAAGTGATTTCACATTTCATTGATAGCCAATCTCCAAGCAGAGGTATGGCTTTAGCTTGATGTGTTATAAGTACCTTGCTTTTTACCTGTATTCCTCACACCTGCAAGACATGCTTGAGGTGTGGCTCTCCTGAAGCACTAGACTATTGGTAGACGATATCCTGTCATACACATTTACTCACACTGTCCGGTTTATCGTCTGTTGTGCCACATGTTTCGAGACAGGGAATCGTACTAGAGTATGCACATTGAAATTCGGTTCGAGCAAAGTAAGATGTCAGATGACAGCACATTTACCTATAGTCTAATCAATACCTGGGAGAAGGGAGACGGCTTGAAACACTCGGTTCCTTACCCAACTTGACACACCAACTGTATGTCGATAAGTCGCATTATGGCATGCCAACAGTTTACAGGTTATGCTAACGATACAGATTTGAGAATTCCTTTCGTACCTCACACAAAGACACGCGATGACACTGCCTGTCAGCCATTCCCTGCGTCTGCCGCCATGTCCTCTGACTACCCAACTGACTTTCTCATCTCCCAACCTCAAACAAACAACGAAAGTATTGTTGGCATTCTAAACCTGCGGACCAGAACATCCAGCAAACACCCAGGGTATCAAAGAACAAAGGCAACTGTTGACAAAGCTTCCTGGGCGAAATTTTGCATTATTTGAGCTCACTTTCCCCAGGTTGTGTCAGCACCTGACCATCACACCTGACTAGTCATCTGTCCGTCATCCCTGCTGACCCACAGATGACCTTCAAAACAGAAGAATCCTGCCCGAAGGTCACAATAACAGGTAACTACCGGCTACACGATACCTGAGTGAAGGGGTTCAAGTGAAGTTGTACATGACATTGGAATCCTGTCCGAGTTGTCCTAAAGTTCAAAGGGCAATTACTGGCAAAATAGAGGATTGCCAACTAAGTTAGAATAGTAAACCACATTATAAATTACCATGTACCTTTTTTTTTCAAAAGTTAGCCTGGAGAACTCTTAAGGTATCTTGGCAGTCCTTCACTAAACTACCACGAAGAAGAGGAAGACTGAAGAAGGTATAAGAATCATGTAAACATACACTGTACATTGATTATCTGATATACAAGTATGAAAGTTCATGTGACTGGTCACCTTATCAGGACAGGGCCTTCCTTAATGTTTACTCAAATATTAGACAAACAAATGTTAGTCAGATGTCCTGACCTTGACTCTACCACACAAAACATCCGCAAGGGACCTGGCTTGTACAACTGAGATAGGAACATGAGTGGAGCTAGACC